AACTATTACTTCCTTCATCTCAAATTATAAGACGTTTTGGGTTTTTCACATTAATTAAGAAATACAATTATTACTTTATGGAAAAATGACATTATTTACGACTTTACAAAATAGTTCTTCATTAATTATATTGGAAAGCGAACTAAAGGAATAGGGAGAAGAAAGAGAAATAAATGATAAATGATATATTAGGAAAAAAATCATTAATGTTCTATTGGGATTTTAAAATGACTTATAATTTGAGACAAATATTTTTTTGCAAAGTAACTTATAATTTGGGACCAATGTAGTATTTTGATTGCATATTAGCAATTGTGTATAATTTGTGTATAGAAATGAAATGAAGATCATTTTTGTTATAATTTTGGTTTTTACTTTTTTTTAGACATACTAAGAGTATAATTATGGGAGTGTGTGCGCGCGTGTGTGGATTTTAAGTTATAATGTCAAAATTAAATGGATATTAATTAATATAAAAATATTATATTTTAAATGCAAATAATTATATAGATAGATATTGTGGAATTTGGTGAGACTTATTTTAAAATTTTTGATGAGTTGAATGGATATTTAAAAATTATAGTTAAGTTCTTTAAATAATTTAAAATTAATATCATTTTACTCTTATTATATAGACTAATTCTGATTTACCTTTATAAAATATTTTTTTTAAAATTAATTTTGTCATGCAAATTTTTTGTTATTTTAGACGTTGCAAAATTCTTATTTGTAAAACTAATCTTGGCCTATGAAGATTTCGTTGGTTTAAATCTCGTAAAATTGTTTTTTTAATTGTAAAACTAACTTTATGATGTTGTTTTTTAAAACTAACATTATCACATGAAAATTGTAAGATTAGTTTTTTAAAAAAACATTTAGAGTCTAAAACAATAAAATTTTCAAATGTCAAAGTTAGTTTTATAAAAAATAACTTTACATATTCTAAAACAATTTTTTTTTCATATAATAAAGTTATTTTACAAAAAAAATTATAAGAGATAAATTAGAATTCGCCTATATGATAGAGGTGAAATGATATTAATCAAATAATTTAAAAGTATAATATAATAAATTTAATTGATATGTGCTGATAGTGTAAAATAATTTTATACTGTCAACCAATCACCTTCATGTATTCCGCCACATCATACTATTATTAGTATAACATGATAGATTGATAAATCTCTATTGGATAATAATGTAAAATTATTTTACAGTGTCAGTGCATATCAATTAAATTTTAATATAATATAGAAAAAATTGAATGAGACCTATTTAAAAAATTCAAATGAATATGATAAATGGGGATGCTAAAAAAAAAAAAACTAATGAGAGGGATATTACATTGCCACGAGGTTATTATTATTCAAGTTCCAATGCGTATAAATTACTAAAGTCCAGATAAACAAGAAATGAAGCTAATAATTCAAAGCATATTATTATATTGCCATGAGGTTCATACTATATTAGTAGATAATTTAGCATATACTATTCAAATACCACGAAGAATTAATTATACAACAAATGGGAACAGTGACCATCCCTTGCGTAAACCTTCATCAACTCATCATGTTCAAGACAAGTGTAAAAGTCCAAAAAGGTCCCAATTATGCTCTCCACTTGCATACAAATTATGGAAGCTCCCCACTTGCCAAATGGACCCATATTTCACTCCCTAATCAACTTCTACCAATAATTTCAAACCGGACAACTCAAGTACCTAGTTTCAAAGAATATCTCGACGAGAAAGTCTGGCAAACCATATTAAGGACTTTGTAAAAAGAAGGGCTTTCCTTTCCCAACAAAACACTAAACCGGGGTCCATTACTGTTACACAATGCTGTTCCCTTAACATTTCATACAATGAATATGATGTTTCATGAATCTCCATACTCACCTTCCTTTGTCCCTTCACCTCCCCCCCATGTGTCTTTACGAATCCATCCAAAACTTTTATATACTTTTTAGTCAAATTCAACTTTTTCAATACCATTTCACTCTTTTTCTCACACTATCTTCTTTAATGTAACGACACTTTTCAATCCTAAGACATGTCGGCTGCCAATTACCAATCGACACGTCTGAATTACATTCAATCACTTTTCTTTTGTGGGACACTACGGTACATGCAACCATATAAGTCCTCTTCATATCAAGAATCTTCTTCACCTCTCCTTGATTTTTTTTCTCTTCGCTATATCCTTTGTTACAAACATGTTCTTCATGTCATTTTCCTTTCTCCATGTTTCCTTTTTCGAAGTTTCAGTTCATAATCATGGTTAGTTTCTGTTAGTTTGGAGCTTCTCGGACTTTTTATTGTGATCTATAGACAACAAAGCTATGGGAATTAATATTGTTTCTGCTATGGGAGTTTGTTTAGGCAGCCAAATCAAAGCTGAAGGCCAAACTAATTCTGGTATTTATAATCTTACATATTTGTAGTATGTAGTTGATGAAAGTTAAGTTTTATTAATCATGTCATTTCGGTTTCAGGGTTAAGTTCAAAGAGTGTGAACGTTGTTGATACAGAAGATATCGCTCTCGTTAGCCCATGTTGCAAGGCTTCTGTGGATCTCAGTAGCTCAACTAGTGAGATTGAGATATCGGCGGGATTGGTGCCTCGGACTGACCCGTGTGTGGGGGAGATCTTGCAATCATCCAATTTGAAGAGCTTTGCTTTGACAGAACTTCAGGCTGCTACTAGAAATTTTCGTGTAGACAGTGTATTAAGAGATGGAGGTTTTGGATCGGTTTTTAAGGGTTGGATTGATGAACACTCGCCTTCTGCTGCTAAGCCTGGCAAAGGCATTGTTGTTGTTGTCAAAAAACTTCATCAAGATGGCTTCAAAGGTCGCGAGGAGATGTTGGTAAGTTTAACTTATCAAAATTGTGTTTACCATCTAAATCGTTGTCGAAATTTGATGTCAAATATAACTTCTCTTAATTATTATCATTACTATTACATGTTTGAGAATATTTTTACATGTTTTATCTTGTTTGTTTCTTTTATAAGCTAATTTTATTAGTTGTTTCAAATGTAAGAAGGATTTGTTTGATGTTACATCAATCAGTGTTCTCCATTTCTATTTTAGGCTGATGTCCGTTATCTAGGCCAGCTTTCACATCCTCATCTCGTGAAACTGATTGGATACTGCCTTGAAGATGAAAACAATCTTCTGGTGTACGAATTTATGCCTCGTGGCAGCTTGGAGAATCACTTGTTTCTCAGTGAGTTCTTCTCTTTTCATCCTTTCACATTATTGTACTTGACAAGGCATGTCTAACATTACTAATAATGTTGCAACAGGAGGCTCATATTTTCAACCTCTTTCTTGGTGCCTACGTTTGAAGGTTGCTCTTGGTGTTGCGAAAGGCCTTGCATTTCTTCAAAGTGCTGAGAAAAAAGTGATATACCGAAATTTCAAAACTTCAAATGTCTTGCTAGATTCAGTATGTGTCATTTAGTACACGGATAACACAATACAAACTAATATATTATGTTTATTTAAGTATCATATCTGAAAATTTCGTTGTTGATTTGATCACAGAATTATAATGCAAAACTTTCAAATTTTGGGCTGGCAAAGGTCGGGTCTGCAGTTGATAAAGGTCGTGTCTCCACCCGACTAACATATGGATATGCAGCTCCAGAATATGTAGCCACCGGTATTGTGTTGAGTTCATTAACTTACTCAAGAATCAACTGTTAAATATCATTTCAGTTAGAGACTAAAATGAAAATAAAAACTTTTGTTGTTGAAGGTATTCACAGTGCTAAGAGTGGTGTCTATAGTTTCGGAGTTGTCCTATTGGAAATATTATCAGGGAGGAGAGTTATTGACAAGAATAGACCACAAAGACAACAGAATTTGGTGGAATGGGCTAAGCCTTATCTTTCCAACAAGCGTAAGATTTTGCGCGTGTTGGATAACCGTCTTGAAGGCCAATATGAACTAGACGATGCATATAAGGTTGCTACACTCTCCCTAAGGTGCCTTGCAACAGAGGCCAAGTTGAGACCAAACATGGATGAGGTTGTTACAAATTTGGAGCAGTTGCAGGTTCAAAATGTAAACGGATGCAATCAGAATCATTTGCGTAGAAGAAGTGCTGATGATGTTACCCGTGTTAGAACAACAACGGCTTATCCTCAACGCTCTACGTCTATGCTCAGTACATGACATTTCACATTGCAAAATGCAGATATAGCATCATTCATAGTTAACAAATCTGAATGTACTCAAATGCAGTGATCCCATACTATGGAGTGTTACCAAATAAATTGTACATATCTTACTATAGATAATGTTTCAGAACCAAATTTCTCTTGGAGATTTTTTTTTGTTGAGAGCGCCTATGTACATAAATAATTGGATCTTTTTAGTGTTTGTAACAGCCAATTAACTAGGATTTCTATATCTTTTGTATGTTCCTATGGTTAGCTCAATTATATTCTAATCTATATGAAATCATAGTTTAATAATTTGATGCATGTATATTCACTGGTACAACTTCAATCTTATATTTAATAATATTAGTTCCCTATCATCCAAGTTTGACTCTGTCCTTGATTGGCTGCTACTATTAATAACTATCAAAGTAGGTGATTGGTAATTGTTAAACAAACAAAATATTCATAGAAGACTTGGAAATTGGAATTGTAACACAGTTCATACAAGTGAAGTCAGAGTCTTACAATTCAAGTCTTTCAATGAATTGTATGTAGTTTGATATATACATATAACTCCTTCATTACCTAAACCTTGCTTTCATGACTGAATTCGTAGTTAGTATCAAGGTCAGATAACTTGATATTATACAGCTTTGCTCAAAATTATCCTGTACAAGCATTTATTAATTAATACAAAATTGACTTGGATCAGTATATTAACCATGTGCTCTGCTATGCCGATTTCACTAACTTAAACTAAGTGATCACCGAACATTGCGATGAACAGGCAACCATAAGGGAAGAGTTTGCTTTCCAAGATATGAATGCATCACCAAGTTCTTACAAGCCCAGGTGCCCAACTTTTCCAATCAAACCTTCCAATGGATTTATTTCTTAAGCTGACCATGTCTCTGAATTCAAAAACCTTCTTCCGAGAATTACTCCCCTGTTTAGCTAGTTCCCGCTCGGCATCCTCGACAGATAAATTTACTTCTTTTCCTTCTCCAGTTTCTGCAACAGTTTGGGAAATGCAATCATCCACAGGAACAATCTCGTTGATAATGTTGTCGAGAATCTCAACCACCTCACTCATTTTTGGGCGAGACCTTGGCTGCTTCGTTAGACACTTATTTGCTAAGATTGCAAGTTTATGAGCTGATTTGGTACAATCCTGTCCCTCAAGCCGAGGATCGATAATATGATGGAACTTCTTAGAATCAGATACATAAGATCTTACCCACTCCAAAAGCTTTTGTTCGTTTCTTGGTAAGTTTCTTTCTACGGCTCTCCTCCCAGTGATAAGCTCATAAAGAACTACGCCAAAGCTCCAGACGTCACTCTTAGCAGTCAGCTTACCAGTATGAACATACTCTGGTGCAGCATATCCTATGGTTCCAACAACCTTTGTAAAGAGAAAATAAGTCATTCCTTTTGCATGTCAGTAAAAAAATCTAGATTGAATTACAAACTAAGGTTTAGAGTTCAGAATTCCAACTAGCAATATGAACTTGTGAAACTCAATTCAGCAAAGAATATAGTTAAAAATATATGTAATCAGTTCAAGTCCAAGATAAGCTTTCCCAGCATGTTACTGTAATCATCTAATGTTATCATGCAATATTGTCAACTTTCTATCATTATGGTATACTTAAAAGCCGCGTATAACTCTATTTTTATTTTTCCTGTCAAATTAAAAAGATGAGTATAATGACTTTTTCTCTATAAAAAGATATAGACATTTTCTTACTGCTGTTGAAACATATCCAGACCCTTCTGATGGTCCTTGTCGAGCGAGTCCAAAATCTGAAAGCTTTGCATTGAAGTCCTCATCCAGCAAGATGTTGGATGTTTTAAAATCTCGAAATATTAGCTGCATCAGATACAATGGGAATCCTTATTTCAATATTACAAAAGTCATCTAGAGATATTAGCTGGCGAGAGTGGTTGGATAAAAAAGAAATCCAAAGCGGGAACCATGAATCAAAATCAAAATGAATTAAGTTATGGCAAGAGCAAAGGACTCTTTTCTATAGAGGACTGTTAAAAATCCAAATGAGAAAGGCAAGTTACAGGCTTTTGTTAAGTGTTCCACATTTCTAATTCAAAGCAACACAATGTGCCCAAACATGAAATGTTTGCTTCACTCACCAAGAGTTCACAAAGAAGTGTCATTTATTGTAAATCCTCGTCAATGATTTAAGAACCGATTCTCTGCCCAAATGGCAAAACTCAAACGACCTCCATTTGGTCTACAGCAATACCTTCACTTTGATAATTCTTGTCAAAAGTTTTGTACAAACTATATCATCTTTTATTAAATTTTGAAACATAAATCAGCCCACTTTAAATTCACTTTTCACTTACAAATATCTTTGCACAATCAAAGATCATCCATCAAACAATGACCCTAACTGAGCATCCACTACACATTGCATAACGACCCATGTCATTGGCAAAAAAACAAATAAACATAGACCTAAAAGCCAAACCAATAGCTCACACGATCACGGTATCAAACAAAACAAATGTACAATTTGCTCTACCATACTATACCTGAAAATCCATTTCTTCATGTAGGTAAGCCAAACCACGAGCAGCATCTTGAGCAATCTTTAATCTGGTAATCCAAGAAAGAACCGACGAAGGAACACGAGCCAGAAGATGATCTTCCAAGCTCTTATTAGACATAAACTCATAAACCAAAAGCCTTTGTATCCCTCTTTCATCATCTTCAGCACAATAACCAACCAACCTCACCAGATTTGGATGCTTAATCACCCCTAATAAATTCACTTCATTAATCCACTCCTTATGCCCCTGAAAACTAGAAATTCAACACAAACAAAAAAGCCCCATTATACCCACAAAACACAGCAAACTAAAACAAACTGGCATATGCCCTATAAGTCAGCTCAGTTGATAGCTGAGCAGGAACATCGAGCTCGCAATTATTGAATGAAGAGGGATAAATTAAACCTGCCTGGTGACCATTACGATTCAACTGTTTAATAGCCACATCAATTTGAGAATTATGAGAATGATGATTTAGGGTTCCTCTATAGACAGAACCGAAGCCACCTTCACCGATTAAGAGAGCTCTATTGAAGCCACGAGTGGCGGTTTTAAGGTCAGAGAAAGAGAAGAGAACCAGATGGTTAGCTCGGCGTTGAGAGAGAAACTCATGGAATCCAACCGTGTCGGAGAAGTCTCTTGAATCGGAGTCGTATTCAGAACGGCGTGAGTCCATTAAGCTTAGGGAACGAGCCCATGAGACGCGTGAACCTCTTGAGCTTGATGCTGAACCTTCTTCGTCTTCTCCTACTACTGCTCGTTTCTCTGATCCTCCGTTGGAGAAATGGAAGCACTTCATTTTGTGTAAAAGGAAGAACACGCAAGGGGAGAAGTGTAAGTTACTGAGTCAAGAAAAGACAGTAGAAGAATAGAATAGCATCGCTTTTCTTCAACTTCAATCTTCAATGATAATAACGGCTTGATGGCTAATAATGTTGTTTTCTTCATTCATTAACTAGGTATTTTTTTCTTGTACCAAAAAAATCAAGAAATAGACTAAATCTCATTTTAGATATTGAAATTGAAAGACATGGTTTTTTAAATTTTAACTAAAAAATATTAAATTTAGTTGAGTAAGGTTTAGCTATGGTGAAAAAACAAGTGAGATTTTGCATTTAAAATCACTCTTAATTTGCTTTAAAAAAATAAAATGAAATAAGTCGAGTCAACTTTGACAGATGAACATACAATTTTATCATATTTTATTTATGGAGTCAACTTTGATAGTTGAACATAAAACTTTATCATATTTTATTTATGGATAGATTAACAAGTTGATAGTTTGACTCGTAAAAAAATTTAAAAATCAAATTTTAAAAATTTAGATATTTGATTATATTAAATATGTATTATAGGTTTTTTCATGTTAACAACTTTAATTCATATTTTAGACATCTTGCTCTCGTATTGACAATGATAGGAAGTATATTGACTAACTGGAGGGGCATTTTGATATTCTCTAAATTTAAGGTTCTAAATTGTCGAATTATCAGTATTAAAAGTGACTCACAAATCTAATTTAGACAAAAATGTTGTAGCATTCGATTTTAATTACAAGCCGATAATACTAGTATTCAAGGACGTTAGTTAACATTTGTTATTATTCAACTACAAATTTTGTTACACAATTTCTTAGAAAAATATTTGAGTGTATTATGTAAGAAATTAATGTAAACTCTCTACTTGTGAAAAAAAATAGACAGAATAAGATATCAAATAAAAATGGGAAAATAGAGTGTTTTGAAAGGAGATGGTGAATTTTTGTTGGATTCTTCCTTAATAGTGGAAATACTGTATAAATTTCACTGCCAATATAAGTTGATTACATCTTCTCGTAATCACTAATGTTAATCTTGTAAAATAATAAACGATTATACAAGCTTAGGATGTGTAGGAACATTATCCTTAAGAATTTGTCCGCCTTAGAAGCACAAATCTTTCAAGATTCAACGTGTCATTCTTAGTAGAAGTCTGATGTAATAAAATAATGAGAAAGAATCTTCAAATGACCGAAAGATGTAATTAAAAAAATAGAAGACGAAAAGAAGTATTATTAAAGTTTTTCACGTTATATTCTTTTTGTCTGCTAAGTCATAAAAATAAGAGTTGTTATATAAAAGAGAGAAATGTAATTAATGTGTTGGACTAAGCAAAGCTGACATGCCTATTTATAACTTTCATTATGATACATTGAAGAATTCATCAACTATTCATTCTTATGACACAAAGAATATTGAGGTGAAATTATATGAAGTAGATCTCTTTTATGAACACGGTTGAGTTTTGAGACAAGAATATTAATAAAGAAGAAAAAGATGAAGACAATGATCAATCAAAAACCAATAGCAAGGATTATTAAAGTTTAGGTTAAATATACTTATCTTTGATAAATAGTCGTTCAGTTCATATTTCACTGAAAATTCTAAAAAACATCATTTAAACATAAGATAAATTATTTCTAAAGGTAAAAGAGGTCGAAACCGCTTAAATAAGCTTAAAACTATGTTATCATATATATATATATATATATATATATATATATATATATATATATATATATATATATATATATATATATATATATATATATATATATATATATATATATATATATATATATATATATATATATATATATATATATATATATATATATATATATATATATATATATATATATATATATATATATATATATATATATATATATATATATATATATATATATATATATATATATATATATATATATATATATATATATATATATATATATATATATATATATATATATATATATATATATATATATATATATATATATATATATATATATATATATATATATATATATATATATATATATATATATATATATATATATATATATATATATATATATATATATATATATCTGCAATCGATTACATGATTTTCAAAGTGTTTCTAGGTAAAAATTAAGCTGGTAATCGATTACCATTCATCAAAATTCAATATTTTGAAACAAGGGTGTACGTTTTGAAACTAGAGTTAGGAGTATGTTGATGGTGAGGAATCTTGAGTTGGGTGCATGAATCTCTGGTACGACGGTGCAGGGGTGTGTTGCACCCCAAAATTTGACCAACCTTTTTTTAAACCTGGTTTATGTTTCATTTCATTTTTCTTCTATCATTTGCATTGCATTGCATTATTCATTAAGCAGGGGATCAAGAGGTTGTGCATAGCAAGAGAAGGTCACCAAGAGTGTTGAGCCTAAGCAAGGGGTTTTACTCAAGCATGAATGGTCATCAGGTCATCAGGAGGTGGTCAAAGTGTTGTGAAAGAATTGATGGGTGTATTTGGAATATCTCCTAACTTGGAGACCAGTTGAAGATCATCAGAGGATTGTGAATTCATGATTATGGATATGAGATGTTGAGAAAGCTCATTGAAGGCTTTGAGAGCCATATTGGAGTTTGTTCAAGTTGTTGTTGTAAGAACACAGATTGTTTCTTAGTAATATCTCTATGTTTTGATGATAACTCTTATGAAATTTTGTATTAAAGAATTATATACTCTAAAATTGGTTCATGAATATTTGCTGCAGATGATTAAATTATATATACATCCAAGAGCAAATTAATTTGAACATGGAACTATGGAAGGCTCTGAAGAGTCAGAATCATCTTATAAAAGAATCTGAGCACTGCCTGCAGAAGAATCTGAAGCAGAAGCTACAGAAGAATCTGAAGCAGAAGTTGCAGAAGAATCTGAAGCAGAAGACTCTAATAAGATCTGAAGACTCTGAAGCATTGAAGAACTTTGTATGAGAGTTAAGAAGAACAGTTTTTCAGAAGACTCTGAGAGTACTACACGCTGTATGTACTGAGGATCTGATTCATAAAACTCTGCTCTGATAGAACTACACGCTAAAGCACACTTCCTGCATTACTCTGATTCAGCAAAATCTGATGGGTATCCAAGACTCTGATCATGCAAAATCTGATGGTTAACTTTGCTGAAAAGAAATACTTGTTGAAGAAGAATTCAAAGTAATATCTTTTGATTTGGCTCAACGATTCTTTCCTCTTTCATGCTTGACACTAGAACACAGGCCAAAAGCATTTCTCTGTGCATTCTACTTCTAGTAAAGGTCATGTGATGTAAAGACAAAAAGGTTCAGGCCTTTTCAGTACACAGCCTCCAACGTCAAGACTTTGTGGACTACTGTGCATATAAAAGCAAGTCTTCATCATCTTCTTCAGAAGTGATCAACAACCAACGAATCTTTGATAGAAACTCTTACAAGCTCTCATAAAATATTCTTATTGCTGAGTTTATTCTTTTGTTCTTAACATTAAGTGAAAAATCACTGTTGTGATAAAGCTTGTTAGAAGCATTCAAACACTTGTATTAATCTTACATTTCATTGTAATAGTTCCTTAAGAAGATCCAGTTGGGATCAGTAGTTCTTGAGAAGACTTTGAACAATTGTTCTTAGTGCTTACTATTGTAATCAGTTGATTAAATAGTGGATTAAGTCCTTGTTTGAGAAAGGCAAATCACTCTAGATAGGGTGGACTGGAGTAGTTGAGTTCAACGAACCAGGATAAAAATACTTGAGTTTTTACTTCTAAGTTTTATCTTCATACTTATTCAACCCCCCCTTCTAAGTATTTTCTCACCTTCAGTTGGCATCAGAGCTCCGGTTCTGTGTGTGCTACCACTTTACAGTGACAGAAAAGATCCAGTGAGAAAAACTTTGATACTTATATTTGGTTGTTTATAATGGCTGATGTTTCAACATCTAACAAGTATGAAGAAAGAGACAGAATCAGTATAAAACCCCCTATGTTTGATGGGGAGAAATTTGATTATTCGAAAGACAGGATTGAAAGTTTTTTCCTTGGTTATGATGCTGATTTATGGGATCTGGTCATAGATGGATATGTTCATCCCATTGATGGGAATGGCAAGAAAGTAGATAGAAAATCTATGACAGAAGCCCAAAAGAAGGAGTTTAGAAATCACCACAAGGCTAGAACAATATTGTTAAATGCAATATCTCACACTGAGTATGAAAAGATCACAAATAGAGAAACTGCATTTGACATGTTTGAGCCCTTGAAAATGACTCATGAGGGAAACTCTCAAGTCAAGGAAATAAAGGCTCTGGCTCTAATTCAGAAGTATGAAGCTTTCAAGATGGAAAAAGCTGAATCTGTTGAAGCCATGTTCTCCAGATTTCAAATACTTATAGCTGGACTAAAGGTTCTGGATAAAGGTTACTCTACTGTTGATCACGTGAAGAAAATCATCAGAAGCTTACCTACCAGATGGAGACCTATGGTGACTGTGCTGAAAATGGCTAAAGATCTGAACCAGATTTCCTTGGAGGAACTAATCAGCTCACTAAGGAGCCATGAAATTGAACTTGAGGAAGATGAGCCTCAAAAGAAAGGTAAGTCAATTGCCTTAAAATCTAATAAATTTGCTAAAGCGTTGCAGGTAATAGAGGAAAGCTCTGAAGAATCCTTATCTGAAGATGAAGATGAATTATCCATGTTGTCTAGAAGAATAAACAAACTCTGGAAGCATAAAGGAAGGAAGTTTAAAAACTTCAGGAAGTCTGACCAAAGAAAGGAATCTTCTGGACACAGAAGATCTGGCAAAAAGGAGGTTGTCTGCTACGAATGTAAAGAACCTGAGCATTACAAAAATGAATGTCCAAAGCTTCTGAAAGAAAAGCCTAAAAGAAAATTTGATAAGAAGAAGAAGGTTCTACTGGCAACCTGGGATGATTCAGATACATCTGAATCT